TTCAGATTTCTTGGAGGGGCATTTTGGCCATTTCACAGTGCATTTTATTTATTTCTGTCCGCTTTGTGGGGTAGAAAATTTGATTTCGGGAGGGGTTTCTTCTTTGTATTTTTCCATAAAAATTTATCTTCTAACCCGTTTCTGTTCTCAGTTGTGGACAGATCCTGTAGCAGCTTTTAACCCTCTTGGTCTAGACTAATATAGGGGCATTTCGGGAATTTTCTTTGAAAAATAAATTTCATTCTTAACATGGTCACATAGAAAACGTGATTTTATGGGGGGTTTCTTCACAACATTTTTCCAGAAAATGTCATCTCAGACCCAAAAACCCCGCGTCAAATCTGTTTTCCTGTGCGTGTATGCACTATTTGAAAAAGTCTGTTATAAGGGCATTTCGGGGATTTCACCTCAAAAATAAAATTTTCTTTGAACATGGTCAGCTTGGAAAAATTATTTTGAGAGGGGTTTCTTCTTTGTGTTTCTCTAGAAAACGTCGTTTAGTACCTCAAAACGGCACACGAATTTTAGCATTTTGCCCAGGTTACTATTCACGGCCTCGGCGACGTTAAAACTTTGTTTTGACTTTTCTCTTCCATCCGGACTCCGAATCAAGTGATTCTTGAGTCTAACTTGATTAATTTTTTGTTGTCTTCCCAGTGGTGTGCTAGGTAGCACCCAATTTTATATTTTTTTGAAATGACCATTTTGCCCTTGGGGCTATTTTTGTCCGGTTTTCTTGTAATTCGCTTCCGTTACTTTCTTTTGAATTCTGTGACTTCATACATTCTAGGGACGTTACTTCCATGTAAAATGACTATTTTGCCCCTGGGGGCTTAATTGTTATTTTTTCTGATCTTTTGCTTCCGCGTCAGTTCTCATTGAGTTTCACGACCTCATGGAAGGTTATCAAAGTGTCTTAGAGGTGTGTTATGCCTTGGGAGACCGTTGACTTATTTCTTGCTTCCGCATCTGGATCCGCTATTGGGTCAATCTTCAGTTCATCACATGACGTGCTGGCCTAAAAACCAGGGTTGTCACACAATATAACCAAAATATAAACTAAAGACATCCCTACCTCAATTTGAGATGAAATCTCAGATCCCCACTGAAAGAAAATTGCTTCGAGTCCAACGATACTCCTAGGTTATGTCGGGGACAACGAGAAGAACAACTTTAACCTTTGAGGTACCATGAAAATCCAAACCCGAATTCAAAAATGGTCAGAAATGGATTCTAAGAAGGGGGAAAGGAAGAGCATGTCAAGGCCTACGATAAACGTTAAGGCACGAGACAAATAACAAAGGAAATCAAGTGGAGAAGAAGAAAGAGTGGTGGCAGCCCTTTGCCAAAGAGGGGAAGAAGATGGTAAAAATCTCATTTTTCACTTTAAGACATTCTATTTATAGTAAAACCCTAAAAGTGCCCCGAACGGGCCCCGCTGGGTCCAGAAAAGTGGAATTTATGCAGACGTGCTCAAACGGTAAAACACCATGAACGAAAAAGAACCAAAATGAAAAAAAAAATGAACAATGGAAGAAATGACGTTGAAAACCGAGTCCCTAGCATAAAGATATACCCCGAACAAGTTCGGCGCTAACTGGGGTCGAAAGTCCTAAAATTGGGGAAAACGACCGGAAGGAAATTCTAAGAGTACCCTACTCGAATAATGTGAAAATGAATTCCGTATGAGGATCCAGGCTCAAAATAAGGCATTTTGCAATAACTTTCGTTAATTGCACAATGGCCCCTCTAAGAGAGGATAACTGCAAAAATGACCTAGAAAGAAAATATCTTTTAAAAATATTTTCTTAAAAACCCCTGAAATAAAATATTTTCAAAAGATATTTACGAAAAACACACCAAAAAAAGAAAATGTTTCCGAAGAAACTATGCATCCATGCCCCTATAGACACGGGGAGTAACCAGAGTATTTTTCTATAAAAGTAAAGATATGTATTTCGTGGAAACCACTTAGAATGAAGGTACGTGAAGTCAAAAATCAATTCCGTGCACGAAAAGTGAGGTTGTGCCAAAAAGTGTCAAACAGGAAAAAAAAAACGAAAAATGAATAGTGTCCAAAAAGTGAAAATGTGGAAATGACTCAGTCCTTAAATGAATTTGTCAATCCAAAGGAAAGAGTATCGGAAACCATTTCCGAACACTTGAGACGACACTAAGTGATGAGAAACCGAACTCGGAGAAGAAAATTCAACGAAAAAAAATTATTCGTAAAATTTGAGAAAAAGAAAAGGAAGGAAAATGACCGAATCATTACAATCACAAAGATAAATACTGAAAAGTAAAAAGTAAGTAGAGTTAGAGAAATGGAAGCAGAATTTTTAGTGAGGAACCCTAATTGATATAATAGACCAATTATTGTGAAAAAAAACCTTGTGAACTGTGCAAAAAGAAGTGAAATTACATATTAGTCCACCATTTCAATTGTAAGGACCAATAAGTCCTATAAAGTTTTGTTAAGACAACTACGTCCTACCTTGAGTAAATTTTTTCAATTAAGTTCATAGTTATACTAACATTAGGTTTCTTCTAATATTTTACCCTTTTTATAAACATTTCATTAATGTCATTTTTAAATAAAAGATTTTTTTTATAAAAAAAATTATACTATCTCAGATTCATTTTTTTAAAAAAATATATATATCACAGACCTAAATTTATGTATACTTTAAATCCTTGAAATTGCTTATTTCCAACACAATATAAAATATAAAAAAGTGAAATATTTCAATAATTCATTAATTGTACATGAACACACTTCATACAAAAAAATTTGATTTTTTTAGGGATTGTTTCAATATTTATTTTTTATTATATTTGATTGAATTTAAATAACTTGTTGAATATTTTTAAAATTTGCTAATTTTGGTGCTAGTTAAAACTATATGCTTTAATATTATTATTATTTTTATTATTATTATTATTATTAATTACAAATTAAAGGTTAAGGGTATAGTTAGTATTTTAATAAGAAAATAAATTATTAATTTTTTGTTACAAAATAGTATGCTATGTTTAGTTGTATGAAATTGGTGCATTGGAATTATATTCATTAGAATAAAAAAAATAATAATAATTTAAATTTAAACTAAATTTTCTCTGATTTCATTTTCAAAAGGACCAATTCCATGCAACAAGACATAGCATAAATGCATTGATAAAAAAGAACAATATGAGTAAAAAAAAAATTGTTAACATTCCAATTAGGGCTGCAACTCGGGCGGGTTGGACTGGCTTGGCACTCATCTCGGGTTAGACCCATATAGAAAATCTTCAGCACAAGCCTAGCTGTCCGAGCCCGCACTAAGCCCACCTCAGAAGAATTTGTGTGTAAAAAATAAATCAATTAATGCTACACCCATAACTTGAACTTAAAACCTTAAACATAAATTCTAAACATACTATCATATCAGCTCAATTCAAAATATATTATAAATATATATAATATTTCCGGGTTCGAGTTAGACTTTGGACTTTATCCATATCAACTCAAACCTAACCTGAATTAAATTTGGACTCAAAATATATAGTCTAAACTCAAACTGAAATTAAAAAAACATTACCCAACTCAGTAGTTTCGGCCGGCTGCGTTTTGTGAGGGCTAGAAACTTTTGTTGACCGTACTGTACGTAGTTTAGCTAGTTGATGATATATTGTATATAGACATAACTCTGTAAACTAGAGGTATAAAAATGTTTGGTCATACTGAACTTTGGGACATGCATTTGCATTCTCACATGTCATATATCATAAAGTCATCAAAATACTGTATATATTATATATATATATGCATACCATATATACCACCAAATGGTGTAAGGTCAAGTGTCAACCCCTTAAATTCCAATATAGCTGCACCGTGTTGCACAAGGAAAAAGAATGGTATGGGCTTGGTAGGTGAAGAATGGCAAGTGGACAACTGTTACAAGTGAAACTTGTCCCACATCGAATTTGGATGGGGGTTAAAGTGTGTATAAATGGGTGGGTTACAGTTGGTATCAGAGCCAGACCTAGTCCTTAATCCAGTGTCACGCCAAGCGCCCGGCCCGGAAGGCGTCTAGGTCTGCCTCCGGGTAGGCAGGGTGGTCCGACCGCAATGAGGGCATTGCGTGGGTTCGGGTGGGGGAGAATGTTACAAGTGAAACTTGTCCCACATCGAATTTGGATGGGGGTTGAAGTGTGTATAAATGGGTGGGTATGCAGCATTACCCAATAGTTCGAGCTTTTGGGTAAATGGGCAAGCGCCCATCCGTTACAACAACCAAGTTGGCTTGCATTTATGCCAAGTCAACCACTAAATTTATACAGATATACAGAATCCTTGTTCGGACTCGATCTTTAGGTTTAAGTCCAAACTTCACCAAATTTACTGATATTGACATATATATATATATATATATATATATATATGAGCAATAAATGTTGGGAAAATTACATATAAATGGAGTCAAAGTTCCATATTTACTTAGAGGCTGAGTCAAAGTTCCATATTTCTCTAAAATGGATTGCTGAGGTGGCACATGGTTTTTTACTGTTTAGAAATTGTGGTGCCTAAAATACCCTTCCGCGAAGGTACTACTTTTCCTTCGAAGGTACTACTTTTTTGAACTGAAGGTACTACTTTTTGGCGTCCAGGTACCATGTTTTTTAAACACCCGCGAAGGTACTACTTTTTTTCCGAAGGTACTACTTTTTTGAACTGAAGGTACTACTTTTTTGCACTGAAGGTACTACTTTTTTGTTAGGGAAGGGCATTTTAGGCACCACAATTTTCTAAACAGTAAAAAACCATGTGCCACCTCAGCAATTCATTTTATAGAAATATGGAATTTTGACTCAGTCTCTAAGTAAATATGGAACTTTGACTCCATTTATATGTAATTTTTCCATAAATGTTCCTCACTGCTAACGAGTGGTCTTTAATTAATTAAAATGGCCAATACACTATCTCAATATCCATCCACAAACATGCTTCAGCATGTGTTCTTGTTCTGTCTACCATGGGCACTCCTCATGACACTGGCCAAAATCGAGGGAAACAGCACCAGCACCAACACCAGTGCGGCCACCGCTTTCATGGTGACCAAGCCGGGTTGCCAACGCCAATGTGGTAACCTAACCATTCCATACCCATTCGGCATCATTGGTGAGGGAAAGGGTTGCTCCATTGGCACATGGTATGATGTCAACTGCAACACTTCATACAACCCTCCAAAGCCCTTCTTCATGGGCGTACTTGAAATCCTAGACATTTCCGAAACCCAAATTCGCACCAGGACTTATTTGGCTTCCAAGTGCTACAATCAAAGTGGTGCATTGATCCAAGAAAAACCTTCATGGACAAACCTTCTAGCAACATCCCCCTACACCTTCTCGGAGACGGTAAACAAGTTCACGGTCATCGGCTGCGATGACACTGCTTTGATTACAGGGTCATACGATCGGAACTTCAGCAGTGGTTGTTTTTCCCTCTGTAACAAAAAGGAGGATGTGCTTGATGATGGGTATTGTTCTGGCATTGGTTGTTGCCAAACCTCCATACCAAAGGGTCTAAAGTTTTACTATACTACCGTTAATGACTTGAACAACCATACAAATGTCTGGTCATTTAATCCTTGCGGCCATGCTTTCTTGGGTGAGAGCTTCAAATTCCGCGGTGCCTCCGATCTCTCTGATCCAAATTTCGCACAGAGGATTAAGGATACCATTCCTATGGTGGTTGATTGGGTAATTGGGAATCAGAGTTGTAGCGAAGCCCAAAAATGGAACACGTTAGCATGCCAGAAGAATAGCTATTGTGTTGACTCCCACATTGGCTATGGAGGATACCGTTGCAGCTGCAATAATGGTTATGAGGGTAATCCTTATCTCAGCCCAGGATGTCAAGGTTGGTTTTCTATTTATCACTCTTTTTGTTCAAACCAAATACAATAATCAACTAGTAAACTCTGGGTAAACACTTAATTAAGTACGTATATATATATATATATATATATATATATATATATATATATATCTCATTATTAACTAGTTTAAACTCGGCGTTCACAGGAAAAAGATTCGAATTTTAACACATGTTTGCACCAAGTTATTTATTGTGATGTTTCTTTGGGCAGATATCAATGAGTGCGCGGATCCTGAAAACAATCCCTGTAATGGGACTTGCTTGAATACACCGGGAGGTTTCAACTGTTCATGCCCACATGGATACTATGGGGATGGCAAAAAAGATGGGCGTGGTTGCATTGATGTGAATTCACAATTCCCAGTCCTTAAGTTTTCTCTAGGTGATTTTCCCATAATTTTTTGTATATAATATTGAAAAACACATATTAATTTAGCGGGAATTTATGGTTTGCATGATTTTCCTATGCCTTGATCGAATTCTAATTGGATTAAAAGTTAATTGTTTTCAAGCTTAAATGGTTTGCATGGTGTTCGTAACACCTAAAAATCCCCCAAAAATACCCTTTCTTGTATAGTTGTATATATAGGTAAACAATGAAATAAATCATGAAGTGTGTGTCTATAATGAATACGTAAATATCACATCTTATCCCTGCCATGAAGCATGCTATTATTTATGTAGGTAATTGTAAATCATTATCGTGATTAATTACATAATTACTTCTTTCGTCAAGATTCATTTAATATTTTGCATAATTTATTTGAATTTGTCGCATGTTTGAGCTTGGGCTTCCTGTCATTATTCATTGGTATAGTATGGCTATACCTTAGTATTAAAAAAAGGAAGCTTATTAAGCTTAGGGAGAAATTCTTTCAACAAAATGGTGGTGTCTTGTTGAAACAACAAATTTCGTCCAATGAAGGTGGTGTCGAGTCATCGAAAATCTTTACAGCACAGGAGTTAGAAAAAGCCACAAATAACTACGCTGAGGATCGCATTTTAGGCCGAGGTGGTTATGGTACTGTTTACAAAGGTATTGTAACGACCCTTGCTGATGCCAAAAATTAAAAAAAAATTCGGCATGACCTTCGCTAAAAATCATCCTATAACAACCTATTTAAAAGAATGATAAACCTGTCCCAACACAAATATCATATAATACATTCCATGGTGGTGCAACCACATACTATATCATTCAAATATCATAATTACAGTCCCAAAATACAAGATTAATATCGAACGTCCATGTTTTACAACGTTTATACAACTTATGCTAAAATTACAGTCTATAATTATAATTACGATAACAAGGGTCCACAAACCTCTATGCCGAATATAACAAACTAAGGTTTTACAAAAATATGGGACTTAGTACACAAAATGGCAAAAAGTCTTCTAATCAAAATTAGCCCTGTAGTGGAACGTCATCCGCCACTTCTTTTTCCGTTTCCTGGAAAAAATTTATTAAATAATAGGGTGAGCAAGTTGCTCAGTAGGTAGTACCTAAGACACACCTCTTGTGTCCCCGTGAATCCAAACAAAGAATAGGACAATAGGAATTTGGGGTCATGCAAAGCCGGGAAAACACAATATCAATTCTAAGTTCAAAGCAAATAAATTTCGTGCCATGAATGCAATGTTATGCATGTCACTCCCCATTTTCAGAAAACATCATTACTTCACAAACTGTTAATATAACCCGCCCATTGGTGACTCCGCAGCGACACGAGAGAAGAATTGGCTACTGTCCCTGACCTTTGGTACCCCCGCAGCGTCATTTGGGGCCCAGGTAGCTCAACCACGCTAGGGCAATCTCCCTAGTTCCCTCTAGGCTATATTAACACACCGGTCCTTTGGTGACTCCGCGGCGACCGGGTTTTTTTCAAAAGCCGATTCATCAAATTCTCCCCAAAATCCCCTTTTTCTTTTATTTCAAAACACTTTCCCTTTTCTTTCATGCCCAATGCTTGTGTGCATTTATGGAAATGGAGAGAATTTTTTTTTACGCACAATTTACAAGCTTTTACATAATTTCTGACAAATTAATTGGCATAGAAAACTAACACATTAAGCATGTTTTTATTTTATTTTCTTTCATTTTATTATTATTATGATTTTCATACAATTCAAATAAATACACATTATAATTCAATTAAATACACCTTCTCACATGTTTCATATATATAATCAAGTCACTTTAAGGAACAATTATCACAATATAGCATGCTAGAATACTAATAGGATACTAATCAAGAAAAAAAAAAAAATTCACAAAGGGGCAATCATCACAATTTAGCATGCTAGGACACTAATTAGGAACAATTAACTCACAAAGGAACAAGATTGTAGGAATTAGAGACCCCTACCTCACTTTTAAGCAAAATCCCCAATTTCTTCACCTCAAACTTTAGGATTTCGAATCTCCTATAGTGCACCAATCAAAGAATTGCTCCTATCAACGTGTTGATCTCGTCGTGGGCTTCGAATAGCCGCAAACGGCTCTTAAAAACACCAAGAAATGAGGGAGAAATCAAGAGTGGAAGTTGCAAAAGAAAAAGAAAAAAAGAAATACAGAGGCAGCGAGAGAGAGAGAGACCTGCCGAGAGAGAAAGTGAAATGAAAAATGGGTCTTCATCCCATTAACCACATGTGCCTTAAAATAAGGTGGGCCCCACAGCTAACATAAAATAAAAAAAAAATCTTTTAACATAAATATATAAGATACAGGCATTACAGGTATTCTAGTAGATCAACGCATGGTTGCAATCAAGAAGTCACGAATAATGGATAAGAGCCAAATTGAGCAGTTCGTCAATGAGGTGGTCATTCTTACACGGGTTAACCATAGAAATGTGGTAAAACTCTTGGGATGTTGTTTGGAAACCGAAGTCCCTCAATTGGTTTATGAATATGTCGCTAGTGGTACCCTCTTCCACCATATCCACAGCAAAGGTGGAATATCATTATCTTGGGATAATCGTTTAAGGATAGCTGAGGAATCTGCAGGTGCACTAGCGTATCTTCACTCATCTGCTTCAATGCCCATCTTCCATAGAGATGTTAAGTCCGCCAACATACTATTAGATGAACATTACACTACAAAAATATCAGACTTTGGTGCGTCGAGGTTGGTTCCATTGGACCAAACTCAAGTGACTACACTAGTTCAAGGGACATTGGGATATTTAGATCCTGAGTACTTTCATACAAGCCAATTGACAGAGAAGAGTGATGTTTATAGCTTTGGGGTGGTTCTTGCGGAACTCTTGACAGGACAAAAACCCCTAAGCATGGAGAGAACACAAGAAGAAAGAAATTTAGCTACATATTTCATTATGTCAATGAAGCAAAACCGATTGTTCCAAATTCTTGAGGCTCGACTAGTAAGAGAAGGGGCATTGGAGCAGCTTCAAACAATAGCTGAGCTTGTGAAGAGATGCCTTAGCATGCATGGTGAAGAAAGGCCTACCATGAAGGAAGTGGCAATGGAGCTAGAAGGTTTGAGGAAGTTCACCAGACATCCATGGGTTCACCAACAAAGCCATGAAGAGACTGTGGGCTTAATGAGTGAGGAATCAGATCTTTACACAGTGCAAATGAGCCCATATAGTACTAATCACGGAGATTCATCCGGACAATATAGTTTGGATAGCCGTTTAATTGCTAATATACATAGCCCCCGCTGATGGATATAATTCACTTGTAACACAGCCATGAATTTCTTGTATTCAAGTTTTTTCTTTTTTCTTTTTTTTTTTGACTGCTTCCAGTTTTCATTTTTGTTGTTATTTCTAAAATGGTGTCTCTGCTAAGACCTTTATTTAATAAACTTTCTTTCAATGATCGGGTTCATGCAATAAGATCGTTAATATTTTGTGATGATTATAAAGATAATTCGATGATGAATGTTATTTTCGATTCTTTGGTTAATCTCATTTTTTTTTTTTTTTTTTTTTTTTTTTTTTTTTTTTTTTTTTTTTTTTTTTGTGTCTGAAAAATGCATTTGCTCTGTCTTGCCTTAGTTTTCCTCTGTAATAAGCATATGATCTCAAGAAATTGTTTTTCTGAGGAACGCCTTAAGGCCAAGTGATCGCAAGTATGAGAAGAGTTCGATATATGAGAAGCGAATGAGCCAAAGGAGTACAATGACCTTTACAATGTCTGCACACTCATTCTCAGATTCTAACCCCAAAAAAAGCCCAACAATATGGGCCAACTCTTATCCTGCAGCTTCTTTTGATCAAATTAGTCTGAAAGCAACTCAGAAACAATGTCTTCACAACCTTCAGAATTTCCATTAAAAGATTCATACTACACCAAGAGTTGGGTATGTGTTTTGCAACCAACCAAAAATAAATAAATAAATAAATAGAATAAGCAGACTTTTAAAGCTACCAAAACCACAAACTGACCAAATTAAGATCAAAGCAAAATTGCAAACTGAACCGGAAAACAAATACTGTACAAAAATAGAGACCTGAACCCCAAACATCCTAAAACCAAAACTCTGATGCCATGAAAGAAGTATCATGCATATTTGACTTTATATTTCCTTCAGTTTTCCTTGGGGTTTGTCTGCCTTTTACATTTTTTTTTTGTTAATCTAATATCAAAAAACTAAAATACAAAATTGTTTGCTATCGTGTCAACTACTTACTAGTGTGCTTATCACTCTTTTATCTTATCTAAAACATGTAATCCTCCCTACTTCACCATATCATCCTATTAGATACTTAATTTTAACTGGTTACAAACTATTGTTTTGTTTTCTATTTCTCCTAATAAAAAAGGGGACCAAGGGGACCAATCCCGGACATGAGGCTCCTGTCATTACGGTCTAACTAAGCTTGCATCACATGTACCCAACTTATTACTGTTTAGGTTTGTAAAACTCAAAAATAAATAATTAATAATAATAATAATAATAAAAAAGGGTCAGTTCCAAAAGGCTGCAATGCAATGCTTCTAGCAATCCTAATGTTTTGACATTGAATGACAGTGCCCTACATAGAACAAAGTTGATGATAGAGCTCATATCACTAAAATAGGTAAGAAGGACCCATAAATGTTAGAAATTAAACTTTATTTTATTTGGTGTTTTATATTTATGTGAGTTTTTTATTGGAGTTAGTGGGGGGCATGAGAGTTACAACTAGTAAATGGTCATGTTAGTGGGTTAGTGGGAGTTTTGCCTACTAAATGGTCATGTTAGTGGGTTAGTGGGAGTTTTGCCTACTAAATGATATGTTAGTGGGGTTTTAAGTTTCATTTACATTTATGTTTTGAAGCCTATATAAACCCATGCATTGTACTCATTTTCTATCAAGTGAAATAAAAAGTATTTTCCTCCATTTCTATTCTCTTCCAAATGGTATAGTGTTGTGTGTGTAACTAGGCCACTATTTCCAACAAAGTGGTATCAGAGCTAGTTTGTGAGAGAGAGAAGAAATGGCAAACAATTCGGTTCCATTTCAAATGCCTCGATTCACCAAAGATAACTATGAAAATTGGTGTATCCGTATGAAGGCAATTTTGGGAGCACAAGATGTGTGGGAAGTTGTTTCCAAAGGTTATGATGAGCCAGAAGATGAGGCAACTTTGTCTCAAGCCGAAAAAGATGTTTTACAAGCCATGAGAAAGAAGGACCAAAAGGCGGTGATGACCATCCATCAATGTTTGGATGATGGAATGCTACAAAGAGTTGCTAGTGCAGAAAATGCAAAGCAACTATGGGAGATTCTTCAAAATTCCTTCCAAGGAGTTGATAAAGTGAAGAAGGTTCGCCTCCAAACGTTACGGGGTGAATTTGAAGCATTGCATATGAAGGAATCTGAATCAATTTCAGATTATTTTTCGAGGGTCCTGGCTATTGTAAATCAACTAAGGAGATATGGCGAAACCACCATGACTGATACAAGGGTCGTTGAAAAGATCCTTCGGTCGTTGGATTCCAAATTCAACTACATTGTTGTAGCCATTGAAGAGTCAAAGGATTTGGATTCCATGACTGTTGATCAACTCATGGGTTCGTTGCAAGCTCATGAAGAAAAGGTGGTGAAGAAACAAGAAGCATTGGAGCAAGTGCTACAAACAAAGTTTTCGTTGAACGAAAGAGACGAAAAACATGGAGGAAATCAAAGGGGCCGAGGACGTGGAAATGCACGTGGCCGAGGAAGAGGAAGAGGCCATGGAAGAGGAGAAAGAAGCGGTCAACACACAACCAACAATGAAGAAAAAATCCATGACTCACAACAAATAAGAGGTCGTGGTAGAGGAAATTACTCAAGGTCATATGGAAGGAGGTATGATAAGTCTCAAATTCAATGTTATAATTGTCAAAAGTATGGTCATTATGATTCGGAATGTAGAAATGTTGCTAACGATGTTGAAGAAAAGGCGAATTAAGTTGATGAAGAAGTGGAGCCTACTTTGTTGTTAGCATACAAATGTGAAAGGAGTGATCAAGAAGATGTGTGGTATCTTGACACCGGTGCTAGCAACCATATGTGTGGTAGCAAAGAGAAGTTCGTTGATATTGATGAATCAATAAATGGCAAGGTAACATTTGGAGACTTATCACAAATTCCAGTAAGAGGGAAAGGTAAAATATTGTTTCGTTTGAGGAATGGGCATCATCAATTTATCTCTAATGTTTATTATATGCCTAATATGAAGAACAATATTTTGAGTTTGGGACAACTCTTAGAAAAAGGCTACAATATATCCATGAAGGATTGTAGTCTTTCGATAAGAGACCCATTGGGTAATTTGATTGCCGAGGTTTCAATGACAAAGAACCGGATGTTTTTGCTAAATATTCAAGCCGACGAGGCTAAATGTTTGAAGGCTTGTGTTAATGATTTAACTTGGCTTTGACACTTGAGATTTGGGCACTTGAATTTTGGAGGATTAGAGTTGTTGGCCAAAAAGAAGATGGTGAAGGGATTGCCTTTCATTAGCAATCCAAATCAATTATGTGAAGGATGTCTCGTTGGAAAGCAATCAGGGAAAAGTTTTCCTAAAGAAGCTACCACAAGAGCTACGGCGCCACTACAACTTACCCATTCGGATGTTTGTGGTCCAATTTCTCCATCATCATTTGGTAAGAATAATTATTTTTTATTATTCATTGATGATTTTAGCCGAAAAACATGGGTGTATTTTCTTAAACAAAAATCGGAGGTGTGTGAAATTTTTAAAAAATTTAGAGCACTTGTTGAAAAACAAAGTGGCTATGATGTAAAGGCTCTTCGATCCGATAGAGGTGGTGAATTCACATCAAATAATTTCAAAAAATTTTGTGAAGAAAATGGAATTCACCATCCTTTAACGGTTCCGAGATCGCCCCAACAAAATGGAGTTGCAGAAAGGAAGAACAGAACCATTCTCAATATGGCTCGAAGCATGTTGAAAAGTAAGGAAATGCCTAAAGAATTTTGGGTTGAAGCGGTTGATTGTGCGGTGTACTTGTCCAATCGATGTCCTACTAGAAGTGTGCAAAACAAAACACCACAAGAAACATGGAGCGGAAGAAAGCCAAGTGTCTCTCATTTGCGGGTTTTTGGGAGCATTGCCCATGTGCACGTGCCGGATGAAAGGAGGACCAAGTTAGACAACAAAAGTGAAAAAATGGTGTTCATTGGCTATAATGCAAATTCCAAAGGCTACAAGTTGTACAATCCAAGCAATGGGAAGATTGTCATTAGTAGAGATGTTGAATTCAAAGAGGGAGCCACATGGGATTGGAACACTCCAAATGAAGATTATAATATTTTTTCAATTTCTGATGAGGAGCAAGAAAATGAAGGCATGGAGCAGCCCATTTCTCCACCAACATCACCTCCACCGCCATCAATTCAAGATCAATCAACTCCATCATCATCAAGTTCAAGTGACACACCACCACTTCGCATGAGGAGTCTTCGTGACATATATGACGAAACAGATGAGGTAATGGAAAGGTTAGGTGATCTAACACTTTTTTGTCTCTTTGCGGATTGTGAACCTGTAGGATTTGAAGAGGCGGCACAAGACAAAAAATGGAGAAATGCTATGGATGAAGAAATTAAATCCATAGAGTAGAATGACACATGGGAGCTTGCTACACTTCCAAAAGAGCAAACGGCAATTGGTGTCAAGTAGGTGTATAAAGCAAAGCATAATGCAAATGGTGAAGTTGAAAAATATAAAGCAAGATTGGTAGCCAAGGGGTACAACCAAAAGCCCGGAATTGACTATGATGAGGTATTTGCACCCGTAGCTCGTTTGGAAACAATTAGATTGTTAATTTCTTTGGCAGCCCAGAACAATTGGAGAATCCACCAAATGGATGTGAAATCGGCTTTCTTGAATGGGTTTCTTGAAGAAGAGGTGTATGTTCAACAACCCATGGGCTATGTTGTAAAGGGGCAAGAAAACAGAGTCTTGAAATTGAAGAAGGCTTTATATGGCTTGAAGCAAGCACCAAGAGCGTGGAATAAGCGAATTGACAAATATTTTCAAGACAATAATTTTTCAAAGTGCCCATATGAACATGCTCTTTACTCCAAAGTAAGTGAGAATTGAGATGTATTTTTTGTTTGCTTGTATGTGGATGATTTAATCTTCACAGGTAGCAATCCAAAAATGCTTGAAAATTTCAAGAAGGTTATGGCTCGAGAGTTCGAGATGACAGATATTGGCATCATGGCTTATTATCTTGGCATTGAGGTCAAGCAAATGAAGGATGGAATTTTCATTCACCAAGAAGGCTATGCTAAGAAAATTCTTAAGAAATTCAAGATGGAAGATTGTAAATTGGTAAACACGCCCATGGAAGTTGGAATTAAATTGTCAAGAGATGAAGATGAAAAGACGGTGGATCCAACATTTTTCAAAAGTCTTGTTAGAAGCTTGAGATACTTAACATGCACAAGGCCGGACATATTATTTGCGGTTGGGCTTGTTAGTCGGTTTATGGAAAGACCTACCATAACTCATTTCAAGGCGGCTAAGAGGATTCTTCGTTACATCAAAGGTACCCTTGATTTTGGGTTATTCTATTCATTCTCTATAACTAAGAAGGAGGTGGAGCTCAAGTTCATCAAGTCAAAAGATCAAGTTGCGGATATTTTCACCAAGCCCCTCAAGTTTGCAGATTTTCACAAGTTTAGGAGTTTGCTTGGAGTTGAAAAAAAATCAAGTTTAAGAGGGGGTGTTAGAAATTAAACTTTATTTTATTTGGTGTTTTATATTTATGTGAGTTTTTTATTGGAGTTAGTGGGGGGCATGAGAGTTACAACTAGTAAATGGTCATGTTAGTGGGTTAGTGGGAGTTTTGCCTACTAAATGGTCATGTTAGTGGGTTAGTGGGAGTTTTGCCTACTAAATGATATGTTAGTGGGGTTTTAAGTTTCATTTACATTTATGTTTTGAAGCCTATATAAACCCATGCATTGTACTCATTTTCTATCAAGTGAAATAAAAAGTATTTTCCTCCATTTCTATTCTCTTCCAAATAGTATAGTGTTGTGTGTGTAACTAGGCCACTATTTCCAACAATAAATGCAATCATTTCTTTCTTCCCATACATATAGCATAAACACAATTAGTAAGAGTCAAGACACACCTTGTTAATCCAAAATCAATTGAAAGACGGCTTGGCAAACCGATTGTTAGTAAGCCCAAATCACCAAATATGGTCATTTTTCTTGAAGGATATCAAAAATCACATAAATTCTGGATATGAGACTAGAAAATAAAAAACAAATGAGAGTGGATTCGATCGGGGTCTTAAATACACAAAATGCAGAAATTAGGAGATAGCACGTACTTAGTCCAGATAGCCCACTAGATGCTCTGATTGGAGTTTGAAGAGTTACAAGAAATCTCTTACTAAGCTTTTGAATCTCTATTCACATTTCAAACTCTACAACTAACTCGATAATCCTTTTCTTTTCAATACAATATTAGCATGGTGTTCTTGTACAAACATATTGTTCTATTTGTATACTTTCGTTTAAGCCATTAATGGAAAGCTAAAAAGATTACTGACTCACAAATTTCATGCTTTTTTGCTTGCTACTTATATGGAACTTTGACTTGTGGAAGAAAACAATATTATAAGATCATTTTACATAGAAAATCCACGTCCAAACACTAATGATGAGAGCACAGGAATGACTGAAAATTGAGAGAAAACAAAATAGTGAAAGTACAAGAATTTTGTGATGACTTTATTACAAGTGATCTAATTATACATCAGCGGGGACTATTTATGGCAGCAACCAAACGACTATCTAAACTATATTGTTCAGTGGAGTCCCCATAATTAGTATATGGGCTTATTGGCACTGCATATAGGTCTGATGCTTCACCAATCAATTCCACAGCATCTTCATGGCTTTGGTGATCGTGAACCCATGGATCTTTAGTAAATTTCCTCACACCTTCTAACTCCATTGCCACTTCTTTCATTGTAGGCCTCTCTTCACCTATCAAGTTCAAGCATTTCTTCACAAGCTCAGCAACTGTTTGAAGCTGCTCTGAAGTCCCTTCCCTTCGCACACGAGGCTCAAGAATTTGGAACAGACGATTTTGCTTCATGGACATAAGGAAATATGTGGCCAAATTTCTCTCTTCTTGGGTTCTTTCTATGCACAGAGGTTTCTGTCCAGTTAAGATTTCTGCGAGAACCACTCCAAAACTGTAAACATCACTTTTTTCTGTCAGTTGGCCTGTATGGAAGTATTCAGGATCTAGATACCCCAAGGTCCCTTGAACTAATGTAGTTACTTGAGTTTGATCCAATGGCACTAACCTCGACGCACCAAAATCTGATATTTTTGTAGTATATTGTTCATCTAATAGTATGTTGGTCGACTTAACATCCTTATGAATGATGGGCATTGAAGCTGCTGAGTGAAGATATGCCAGTGCACTAGCAGCTTCCGCTGCTATTCTTAAACAATTGTTCCAAGATAACAAGGATGTTCTACTTTTGTTGATGATATGGCTAAAGAGGGTACCACTAGAGACATATTCATAGACCAGTTGAGGTACTTCAGTCTCCAAACAACATCCCAAGAGCTTCACGACATTTCTATGGTTAATTTGTGTAAGAATAACCACCTCATTGATAAATTGCTCAATTTGGCTCTCATCCATTGTTCGAGACTTTTTAATTGCAACCACACGGTGGTCCGCTAAAACTCCTTTGTAAACGGTACCATAACCTCCTCGGCCCAGGATGCGATCCTCAGCGTAGTTGTTGGTGGCATTTTTCAACTCTTGTGCTGTAAAGATTTTTGCCGATTCTGTACCACCGTCTTTTGATGAAATTTGTTGTTTCATCAGCAACCCACCATTTTGTTCAAAGAATTTCTCCCTGAGCCTTATAAGCTTCCTTTTCTTGATGCTAAAGTATATCAATGTTGTACCGATGATTAGGGACAAAGAACTCAAACTCAAACCTGCCAGAAATTTCCAATTAATTATTGAATAAGAGAGTGCTTACAACTTGCAAAAAATAAGTAGTTGTGTGTTATGAATGATAGGGCTTTCGGTTTAAAGACCCACATTGGGAATCTTAGGTAGTTTTTCCAATCTGTTTTGTTTTGTAGGAAAATAATAATCACTTAAATTGAATACTCCAAAGAGTTAGCTGACTATTTAAAAAAGAAATCATTCGTAATTTGAATTTCAACCAGATCTACCGGCGTCATATTTTAACCAATCAATTAAATTAGGATAATGAAGCATACTTAAAGAATCATACAGATTATACTTACATCTACAGTTATGATCATATGAATTAATGTCAAAGCAAATAAAGATAAAAGAGCAAAGGTTTCTCTTCAAATATGAAATCTCAAGACTTTTATATATATATAAATATATTACCTAGAGAGAACTTAATTACTGGGAACTGTACGCGAGTTTTTTCAGCAGCGATGCAATATTCGTCGGACTCGCCATAGGTTCCATGTGGGCAAAAACAGTTATAACTTCCCGGTGTATTAGTGCAAGTCCCATTACAGAGGTGTTTGTTTGGATCTGCGCACTCATCTATATCTGTCAAAAGGAGCATCACAACAAACAATTTAGTACATATATGCGTGTTTTTTTATCTCTGTGTTAATCAAACAAACAATCATAATTAATGGCATAATCCCCTGTGGTATCTCCTATTCCTTTAAATTTAGTAGGTGTCTGCACAAAAAAATTTGTGTGCGCGCGCGTTTGTGTTTTTTTTTGTCAAGAATCAAAATGGAAAAAGAAGATGGTTAGACTACCACTAGTCCAAAAGTTTAATTGTACTATTAAGAAATGGGTTCAACAAATTATATCGAGTTCGAGCAATCACCAGCTATTACATATGTTTATGATAAAAGATTGATAGAAAACAAACAGACCTTGGCATCCCGGACTGAGATAAGGATTACCCTCGTAACCAATTTTACAGCTGCAACGGTATCCTCCATAAGCACTAGTGTCGGAATCATTACATTGACTATTCTGTTGGCAGACTAAGGTGTTTGATTTTTGGGCTTCTTTGCAACTCTGACTCCCAATCACCCAGTCGAGCACCATTGGAACACTATCCATGATCCTGTCCTCCAAAGTTTTATCTGATAAATCTGAGAGACCGCGGAACGTGAAGTGGTCTTGGTCACCAACAAAGCCGTAGCCACAAGGGTTGAAGGAGGAGACATTGGTGTGGTTATACAAGGTTTCAAGAGAAGAAATGAACCCCCTTATACCCTTTGGTTTGGTGGACTGGCAACAACCGTTGCTGGAACAATCCCCACCAGATACGACGGATACTTCCCCATCATAACAGGAGGACGAACACGCAACCAAAAAATCAAGCCCTTTTTGCCCTGTTAACAAACCAAAGTCATCACACCCAACAGTTGTGAACTTATTTGCAGTGTGTGAGATGGTGAAAGGAGTATTATCTAAGTCCAAGTCTATATAGCTTTCATTGCGGATCAATGCACCTGATGGACTGTAGCACTTGAACATCACTTTGTTCTTGACACGCACATATGTTTGAGATATATCTAGCACCTCAAGACTACTACTGCCACCTACGAAGGGTATGGGAGGGTTGTAAAAAGTGCTGCAGTTGATATCAAACAATGGGTCTATGGAACAACCCACACCGACGCCAAATGGGTATGGAACAGTGAGATTCCCACATTGAGATGGGCAGCCTGGCTTGGTGACCATGAAAGAGGTGGTGTTGGTAGTGGTTGTATTCCCCTCAGGTATGACCATTGTCAACATGAGAAGACATGACAGACAGAACAAGAACATGTGAAGAAGCATGTTTAAGGATGGTGTGTATAAGCTGCAAGATATTTGTTGTCATATGTACATATATATATATATATATACTAAATTTCCCATTAAATGGGTGAAAGATTCATTTTACTGCAAAATTAAAAATAAGAAAAATATCATGGAATGAGGGCCATATATCTCAGTTTAATGGTGACGTACAGTATCAATACCCCGCATGCCGTCACTTCTTAATATAGAGGTTGACTGACCTTCACTCTGTATGTAACTTGATGACTTGCTTGGGTTGGCCAATCAAGTAGATGAAGATCCTCTTTGGTGCACTGTGCTTTCAACAGTATGCAACATTATTATATATAAAATGGTAAGCTACATTAAATCTCCATTTTCTATTTGAGTTTTGCATTAAGCTCCTCTTTTTAATTTTTATTTTGATCAAAAAACTCCCTTAACTAATTAAGGAGGTGACTTAGCAAACGGATGTTAACTGAGTGAGAACTTAAATAGAAATTGACTTAAATACTCGTTAAGTCTATTTGAAAATCTACTTTGGGGGTGATTTTTTATTTATTAAATAACCTAAATGATATCATTCATATAAATTAACACTTCTATTTTAATATGTTAACATTTTACTAAACTGTCAAGTTCACATTAGTCACGTGCAAGGAATAGATTTTTTTATAAAAAAAAAAATTATTTTGAAATATATATATATATATATATATATATATATATATAAAAGGGGGAAAACATGCCGGCATAAATAATATAAAAAATAAAAAATTAGGCATTATTTCTCGTAGTGCCCCTTTAACAAGTCTGTATAAAATGAAAATCAATAAAAACCAAATAAATGAATGCACAATATAATTTTTAAATATATATATATGTGTGTGTGTGTGTGTGTGTGTGTATCAGATAAATTTCAAGGGAAAACCCAAATTTATCTAGGTTTAAAGGCCCGATGGAAATACAAATATAGTATAAATAATATTTAATGGTATATATTTTATATATCATTATATTATGATATATTATATATATATATATATATATAAACTCCCTCCGTCTAAAAAAGAGTGTCTCTTTTGAGAAATTCTTTTTGGGACGGAGGGAGTATATGATGGGTAAATAAAATAAGTTGAGTATGAAAAAAAATACGTGTTGCTGCAATGGTGAAGGATATGCGGCTAAGAGTGATAATGAATTAAATATATATGTAGGGTATATTACAATAGGTACATGGACATTTTTGTCACAAAAATATATGAGAAAACTCGATATCCAACCAACTTCCTTTCAACTAACTTCCGTCGGTTAAATCACCTCCGGGATAGTTGAAGAAAGTTTTTTGACAAAAAATTAGAAAGGGAGAGGGGGATTTTAGTGCAAACCGCAGATAAATAAAAAAATAAAAAAAAAAAAGGTTTAATTCAATTTATTACATATAAAAAGTAATCTTGTTATATGAATAATGTAACATACACACACATTTATTTTTCATATATAAAAACACTCACGTAACTCATTAAATTGAAATGTAATGCTATAACAAGTTTACTTTGAAAAGATTTTTTTTTTTTTTTTTTTTTCTCGGAAGGTTTGAAAAAGTAATATGGTTACATTAAAAATGAATGCTTGATACAATTATGGGTATTGCACCTGTAAAAGTGTAATACAAAAAATTTGTAATAAAGAAGACTTAGGTACCTTTCATGATCAATTTATTAGAGAAGGTAATCACAATGAAATCACTCAACCGCTAGATTGAGGGAGTCACAATCTATTGACTCGGTATAGTCCCCCAAGGTGAGAGTACCTTCACGACAAATTTCTGCGGTCAATTATTTCACTTTCATAGTACATTGTTACTATGACTGTCATGCTCTTTCAATTGTGACAACTATGAAAAACAATAAGCTACGACTGCTGATTGCATGAATTGGTCAACTTTGGTTCAACATCAAAGCAAAATTGAATTTTAAACACTCAATTTATAGTGGCCACAGATTGGCCACTTTTTGAAGCTCATCATTGTAACCAAATTAGGCTTTTGTTTTGTTTTGTTATTTTGATTATGCTTATCCCTGGAGTTTTAGGCACTTAAGCGGTTGCTTAAGGCCCAGTCAATAAGAAAATTTTAAAATTTTAAAATTTATTTATATTAAATTATTTTTTTGTCAATCCCACTCGTTTCGATTTTATATTAGGCCTTTAAATATTTATATTCTAAAATAACTTTTTTTTTTTTTTTTTCCTCTTTTCTCTCTCTCCCCATTCATTCCGATTTTATAATAAGTCTCAAAGATTTATATCCTTATATGATTTTTTTTTTCCCTCCCTTTTTCTATTCTCATTTACACTAACACTAAAAACATTTTTGAGTAAGTTACACCAACACTAAAATATTAAGTATTTATTTAATGTTGTTGTTTGGAAAAATAGAAAAAACTTTCCATTTTTTTTTTTACATTTTATCTTCTTCTTTTCAGCAAGTTCTCATTACAAGTTTACAGTTGTTATGAATACATTTTTATTTTATTTAAAAATTTGTAAAAGTATTAGATTTGGGTTTTCTAAATCAGGTTCAATGGTTCTTTTTCTTTCATTATTTTTTAATTTTATTAATTTTTGTTATTATAAATCTGTGTGTATATTAGTATATATATTTGTATATTTTGTTTTTGAGTTATGACTAATTTTATTTATATTTTTGACCTAAGACCTCAAATTAGATTGACCCACCTCTCTATTGTATCTTTCTATATTGGTGGGGCTTCCGTAACTATCATACTAAGTCTAGGTCTTTTAATAATTTCAGGGGTCCTAGTCTTATCAATATGCGCGGATTCTTAACCATACAAATTATGAAGAGGGAGTATATGGACTAAGTACATCCACAAAGCATAAGGTAACTGAAAATTATAAGTGGATATGTTTGTAATTATACAACTCTTTATTATATCTTTCTATATTGGTAGGGATTCTGTAACTATCGTACTAAGTCTAGGTCTTCTAATAATTTCACACATCTGTTACTATCACACTAAGTCTAGGTCTTCTAATAATTTAACGCAAGTCTTAATCGTAGGAACGGCTGAACCTTAGGTGATTTAGGAAACCTAATGCCTCAGCCAATAAGAAGGCCTCAATTTTTTTTTTTTATTTCTTTATATTATATTCTTCCTAAAATTTTTATTTCCTTCTTATCATCGCTTCAGCGAATATAAATGCCCCAAATTTTGTATTTCCTTATATTATAACTTTCAATTTTTTTATTTGTCTATATTATAACCTTCCTAAAAATGTTATTTCCTTCTTATTATTAAACTCTGTCGAATAGAAAGGCTCCAATTTTTTTTTTTTTTTTTTATTTCCTTATATTATAACCTCCTTAAATTTTTTATTTGTATCGATTATTACCCTAACCAATAGAGATTTAATAGGGGCAAAAGATTTCTTTCTTTATCTTAACTATTTTTTTTTTCTCTCTTTCTCAGCTCATTCACAATTTTTTTTTTTTTTTTTTTTTTTTCCAGATTTTGTAAAACTTTCCATATTCTTATTTTAACTTTTACCTCTTTGTTTGTTTTTTCTGACATTTCCTCGTTTTTCATTAAGTATAAGTTGTATAACTTTAAGATCAATTATATGACATGAAAAATTAATTGGATTGACTATATATATATATATATATATATATTAGATATTAAAGGGCACTTTTATATTTTTCGCTTAAGGCGTCAAATTATATTGAGCCGCCATTGGCCTATCCAATAAGCTAGTTGTACCTGTAGGGGTCCCTGTACTATGTGGCTATGTGCCTTGTTTGCTCTGCTGAGCTGGTATTTCTCTTTCTTTTATTTCTCATATATATAATACTTACCCATTACATCAAAAAAAAAAAGAAAAAAAAAAGACCAAGAATCTGAAATGGTAAAATATTTTTGAAGAAATAAAGAGAAAAATACTCCACAAGTTGAGAGAACTACCTTTCAAAACGTTTAGCTCAACATATGTATTTAGCATAGCATTTTGGAAATACTCCAGAACTGGATTTAATCTCTGTTCCATCTTCATAATGCTACCATAAGCTATGTGTTACAACTAATTTGACAATCAATATGACCCCAGGCGTAGTTGGTTGATTGCTAACATAAATAGCCCTTGCTGCTGGGTAATTCACTTGTAACAAGGTCATGAAGTTTTTGTATTCAACTTTTTCTATATATATATATAATTTATTTTTTCTCCATTTTTTTATTTTTTTATTTTGTTATTTTAATGGCGACTCTGGTAAGACCTTAATTTAATAAACTTTTTTTCAATCATTGGGTTTCACGCAATGAGATCAACAACTTCCTTTATGATCAATGGATCATAAAGATTATTCCATTTTGAATGTCATTTTCCTTCATTTATTAATCTCATTTTCGTAGTGTCTGAAAATGCATTTGCCTTGTTTTGCCTTATTTTTTCCTCTGTAACATATGATGATCTCGTGATATTGTTTTTCTGAATAACAACGCCATAGAGGCCGAGCAATCCTGAGTGCCAAAGAGTTCAGCATATGAGGTGCGAATGAGCCCAAAGTAGTACCATGACCCAATCATTCTCAATCTCTACAAATAATGTTACACAATCTTGTAATGACATTAATGACAGTACCACGGAGTAGAGCCATATATTGTGTCACATTACAATCTCTAAATGAGATGGGCTCTACTCTGTTGTATTTGGTTTTTTTGGAAATGGACCTTGCTAATCTCTTCACATGGTGGCACAATCTTATAATGTCATTATACAAGATTGTGTCACATTACAACCCTAGGAAGCAGGGATATGATTGGGATTCAGATAAATACTTCTAGAATGCGTGGAATACTTTTGTAATTGGACTGGACAAAACTATAAATATAAATATTTTTATAAAATAGTGTATACAATTAAAAAAAAATTTGAGCGGGGAAATTTTTTTAAATTTTAAAAGAATTATATGCAATTTTTTAAAAGTTTAAGGGGGGCAATTTTAAAAGTATACAGAACTATATATACAAGACATTTTGAAATTATGTCACA